CGAAATCTTCCACAGGCTCAAAATATTTCGCTGGAAATTGGAATGCCAATTCAATACGACAAGAGCTTTCTGTTTGTTGGTTTGTTGTTTGCCTGTTTGTCTGTTTGTTTTCGTCGCCTTGGCCATACTTCACGAGGCGTCTAACAATTTGTTGAAACGTGCTCCTGGACGGAAAGGCAGACAGACATGAATAGCATATGCGCTGTGCTGACAAGCCAAACAATTAAAACTAAAGTGGAAACGATCAAAATGTGCAACCCCGGACACACAGATCTATTGCCGCAGATATAGTCCAGGCAAACCGCACTCCCTGGCAATTTGCATAAATTAATATATTAACCGTAGTCCAACTGGTTGGACTGTTGTCCCAACACCCTCACAGGACCTCTCGGCGATGATGATGCCATGGCGTGACTCATGGCGTGCTGGAATTCTCGAATTGAATCGACTCGCCGACAATTGCCAATTGGCATTCGGATGTTCAGCGTCATGTGTTCCATATGCTAATGAGTCTAGCAGCGTGCAGGATACTCTACCAGGTCCAATACGATATAGGGCGATGATGAGCCGGCAGCTCACTTTCGACATTGTCATGCTGTCAAGCGTAACCAAACTCCGATAAGAGCAATAAAAATGAAAATAGGTTGCGAGTGGCCCAGAAAAGCAACAATGGCTTTCGTAACATCTGTGAGCTGCCAGAAATGGCAGAGTTTTAGTCTTTGTATGTGTGTGTGTGTGTGGCATTCGATGAGAGGCTACACTTAGCGAAAACTATGTTGTCATTTCAAGACTTGAAGGTCAGCATATTCACGTTATGATATTGATGTAAATGCCATGATCATATGAATATGATCAATGCTCTTAAAATAATATAAATTAATTAAATAAAAGAACTGCTGAAGGGAAGATATATTCTGAGCAAGAAAGTTTAAAATGAGATTGATTGAGATGACCTCTTCAAATAATTCAAAATAATATATATTAGGATCCCTGTCACTTCTAGATTGTAATTTCACCACTTGACATCCCTAAATATACTAAATTGTCAACTATTTCTCTCAGTGCATGCGGTGGCACGCGATCAGTGGCAGGCCATAATGCACGACACGTACCAATGCTATCGACTCGGACTGACTTAATATATGCACCCACACAGTGATGACACGCATACCTACCAAAATAAAAATAAAAAACAAAATACATAAACAACATTGGGGGAGCGACACATCAAATTGGAACTGAAAATTATGCCAATTGGTTTATCACTTGGCAACTGAAAAACAAGCAACATCTGAGGGGCACACAATTGCAGTGAATTAAAAAAGGCAACATTTCCAAATGCCAAATTGCATGCATTTTATAGAAATAAAGATAGGGTATAATCATGCAGTTGGGTACAGTTGTGTTGTCCCTTTAGATGTACTGGCTGAGCCAGCGCTCCTTGGTCTGACGTCGCCAGTTGAGCGGAAACAGGCGCTTCCAGATCTCATAGCGTGCAGCATTGAGGCCCTCCTGCAGGATGAGCTCGTCGCCAATGTCCAGATAGTAGCGCTTCTTAAAGCTGAACGGGCGCCAGCGAATGTTGCGCAGCTTCTCATCGCTGGGCTTATTGGGATCCCTGTGAAACGATGTCCTTTATAATGAAGGCTTGACTTCAAATATCTACCGTACGAACCCCTTGTACGCAAATGCGGAGAACATGCGTGTCATGATGTCGACCATGCGAAACTCATCGTCGTCCTCCGTAAACATGCGACTGATCGATGGCTCCACAAATAAATACATTAGATCATCGTGATGCACTACACCGTAGGGCGCATCCTCCGGATAATGTATGTGGCTGCGTCCACCCTGATAGGCAAATCGATAGTAGTAGACCTTGGTGGAACGCGCAGCCAGATGCACGAAGCGGTGTACGCCAAAGCCCGTCAATGCATCCGAGTATAGTGTGGCCAGGGACTGAAGCGAGCTGTTCGCCTCGAGCGGCAAATGGCCAAAATAATGCTGTCGCAGTTCCTGACTGATGTTCTGGGCACGTGGACTGCTGGCATTGTAGAGGAAACAGATGGGTGCCAGAGCCTTAAAGTTGTCATTAAAGGCGCTGAGCAAGGCGGGGCTCTGCAGAATAGCTAAGTTCAAAGTTCAAAGTGAATCAATTAGGATGCGAGATAATACCATCTCTGCATGGCACTCACATATAGCTGGGCCCACAAACTCATCCTTGGTCATGCCCGTTATGATGGGTATCTTCATAAAGTCGCCATTCTGATAGCTGCGCACGGGATCCTCAATTAGGAAACGCTCCTGTCCAAAGTCCGGCTCCACCACGGGCTTCCACAATATCAGCGGATTGTTGCGTCCAAAGTCAAACATGCGTGGCAGGGTATTCGCATATTCCAAATAATGTTTCTGTGCAGAGAAGCTTTAGATGCTGTCCAACTGTTTTCATGAATGAAGCTCACCCCACGCAGGCAGCTCAGCATTTCGTCCGTATCCTCTGTGTCGCACTGCAGCAATGCGGCCTGCTTTTTGGCCACGTCCATTTGATGCTCCGGCAGCGACCACTGGCCCGTTGCGGCGCCACTCATCACAATGGCGCGATGGAACAAGCCCTGCGACATGGGCGACACCATGTGCAGGGTTATGGCCATGGCGCCAGCTCCATAGCCCAGCAGTGTAATCGCGTTTGGATCGCCGCCAAAGCGTGAGATATGCAGCTTTAGCCAGCGCAGCAGCTGCACCTGGTCCTTGAGGCCCATGTTGCCTGGCGCCTGCTGCGTGCCAGTGGCCAGAAATCCCAGTGTGCCCAGGCGATAGTTGAAGGTAACCAGCACCAGGTTGCGATCCATGAAATACTGGGGACCCGCAAAGTTCTTGCTCTGGCCAGACAGCGAGTAGAAGCCACCAGGATGTATGAACACAATGACGGGCTTCTTGGGGTTCGGACGCGACTCGCTGGGCAGGTCGCGTGAGTAGATGTTCAGCCTCAGGCAATCCTCGCTCACATCGTCACTGAACAGGCCCGGCTGCGGGCACTTGGGTCCGTCGAAGGTGGCATCGAATATGTCGAACCATTGTTCTACCGGCTCCGGCGGCTTGAAGCGCAGATTGTCCACGGGCGCCTTGGCATAGGGTATGCCCCGGAACGCATAAAAATTGCGACCTGCCTGTGAAGGCAATATCGTGCCACGGATTTTACCCAATGCTGTGGTAATAACCAGATCCGAGAGCTCCTTATCGCTGCCGATGGGCACGTCCTCATCCTCATCCAGTGTCTTGGTCAGTTCGCTGCATAGAGCGCTGCCAAGAAGCAGCAGCAATCCAAACAGTTGCCACATTCTCTGCGCGCTGTGGAAACAACACTGTGGAGGCTGGGGCTGCAGCTCCAGGCTTTTATAGCCCCCAACCGGACACCTGGCTTATGTCACATAAAGTGCGCAAATTGATGATATTCTGACTGCAGCTCGGCGTGGGCGTGCGCTGTTGCTTCCTTGTTCTTTAAGCTCTTCCCATGTCCAATTGCGAGAATGCCCGCCTGCCCGTGTAGTCCATAAATAACTGACACGCTGTCTGGTGGTTCTTTCAATATTCCTTCAGCTCTTCCCACACACACCCAGTCCTTTCTGGCAGCAATCCCAATCGGCCAATCGTCCAGTCGTCCAATCGCCCAATCGGCCTGCCCAACGCAACCCACGCACATTTCTTTCGAATGCTTCAGTTGTGTATTTCTCCATTAATTTGTTATTGCTCCAATTTTCCCACGTGAACTTGTTTGCGTGTTTGCGGCTTATTAGATTAGCAGCGCATTTAGACACCCTGCCCGCCGCCCTCGGCCCTAACCTCACGGTGACCTACCCAAAAACAGAAAAAAAAAACAAAAAAACAAAAGCGGAATATACAACAGCAGAAAGTGATCCTTAAATGCCCGCTAATAGCGTTTAATGGTGAGCATAAAAGGTGAGCACAAGTCATAAAGTTCTGCAGCGCAAGATGATGATGACACACCCCTCAGTACCCAGCCAAGGATTCCCGAAACTGCCTGAGAGACCGCAGATCCAGCCGAGAACTGCGTTAAGTGTTCCTTTGTGCTCTTCTTCCGTTGGTTCAACCTTATTTGTTTTGCTCTTCTGTTAATTCTGTCTGCTTGCTGGGCTCAAAGGACGCACATAAATTGTCAGTTGTGTAGGGCAGACAAAAAGCGTGCTAATTGGATTTATATTGGGCATTATGAAAGGAACTTGGTAGCACTTCCTTGCCCTCTTTTCAAGTGTGAAAACATATCGCGGGCTGATGTTTTCCCATTGCCAGTGGGAGCGAAATGCTGAGTTACAAAGTTTTTCAAAGGGATTTTCGTTCAAAGGACGCAACTTCCCATCTGCTATTCCATATTGATTACGTTGCGGGAATATTTTTGTGTATTTATTTTTTACAAAATAAAGTTATATGTGAGGAGTTTGCTTAATTAAATCCCAAGTCCATAAACTAAAATGTCCAGGATGTGAGGGTGTTAAATATCTATTTAGTTTGGTGAATCAAATAGTTTTCAATCTTGATTGAATAATCAATTAATGTGTAAGAAGTACCAGGTATGCGCTGTGCTGCATTTGTGACCTCTTCTCATATCACTTGAAGGTCACACATTAGCCAATGCTGTAGAGGCTTCAACAGGGCTCATAAGCCGGCGGATCGTGAGGATAAATAACAGTCGTTCGGACTGGCACATGCTCCAACTCCTACACTGTGGCTGGAGCATAACGTATAATTGATGATATGACCTCATTCGCACAGCACCTTGCCCCGCCCGACGAATTGATGCCAAGCAGCTCGGCGGCAATCTTCACGCCTTGACATCTTGGCTTCTATGGCTATGGCAATACCCAAAGTCATCATCGTGGCAAGCTGTGCCGTTGTTAGACATTCTGTGGTCGTCGTCGTCTTCGCATTACCAGGTAATTGTAACGTCAGCTCTAGCACGGGCTCGAGCTCGGCAGGTGACACAAATGCAGACGCCTCCGGTGCTGCAGCCAGACACTAATGACCAGGCCAACGACGAAGACGACGTCGAGCCATGCGCCACAGGATGTGTCTGCAACGTTGTCGAGAGGTGTGAAGAGTGGCCAACTCTCTGAGTATGTGTGTTTGCGTGTTGTTGCTTTTATGACTCCTGCCGCGCCTCAAGTGTGCCCGTGGTGATGTTGTGGGTTTTTCCTATTAAAAGTGTTTGGTTTTAACTTTCAATTTGGATTTAATTAGCTGGCAAATGTTGACATATTGCCAGGAGCCAAGCGAAGCCCAAGGCTTGCGTGTGGTCGATTCTGCAAAGATGCTCAGATATCGGCACCTTTCGCTGGAACCTGACATAGTTACTATCTAAGTGCCATCTAATAGATTAGGATTTGCCAAGTGTCGACCCTGCCAAACCAAAAAAAAAAAAAAAAAAAACTCCAATTCAATTCGATTGTCAGAACGCATAATTTATTGTGCACACTCATTAGATCGTGAGGCGATTGTCTGTTCTAAATTAGCATCCCATTCTATTTGTACTTGGTTTCTAATGCGCCCCTAGCGCGGCGGGGTGGGCAAACCAGCAAAACCATCCCTCCAAAAATAAAAAAAGAAAAACACGAAACGTTAAATGCACATTGACTAATGAAATGTTTGGCGATTTCGATTTCGATTCAGATTCAGATTCGATTTCGAGTGCCCGCGCGAGAGGTCGTTCTGGGCCAAATGATTTGAGTAATTTATGGCCCACAAAATCGTGGCTGTAGCCAAAACAATTGCACATGATTTCGCCTCCTAAAAATGCAACAAAAATATCAAATTTTGTGTTTGCATTCGATAGATTCATTTGTTTGTCTGTTTCGCCATGCCATTTGCCTGTGTTTTTATGCCAATTTGCATTTGATAATACGCCCGCGAACTATTGTCACCAGAATGTTGGCTAATTAGAGGGATTTGTTTTCCAGTTTTTATGGCCTCATAGAGCGCCAGCGATGCGTGTGCCCGTACCCAGGACCTGGAGCAGCACATGGGCACGCGTCCTAGATGAGCCGCAACAGAGATAACTTTTTTTCATTTGGAAATTAATGGCCAAGCGCATTTGCCAAATTGGCAGGCGTGTAGAGAGAATGAATGTGAAATGTGTAGATACAAATGTGGGCAAAAATCAAGTAAAATAAACTAGCATTTGATATGCCTAATGCCAATACTCAATGCTCAACTGCATTTAGTTTTAGTGGATGTAGACAAAACTATAAATGAAATAAATACTGCCTTAATTATTTTTGAAGAATATATTGTTTATCGGAGACCATATTGGTTATCGTACTTGGCTCTTGATCCTGATTAAGTTAGAAACTGCCTTCATTTGTCTTAGTTATTATATCAGAAAATAATATTAGAAGTACATGAGTTATTCGATATAAAAACTCTTAAATTTTTCTATCCAACTGTTAATGGCACTCTTCCGGTCAATAGAAGTCACATATCCATTAGCAGCTGCCTTGCTCCTACTTCTCACATGAGCATATGCAAAAATAAGTGTGTATGGATGCGAAATAGATGAGCACACTCTATTGGAATAATCCTCCCCAGTCGAATAATCGGGCGCGACATAAACAACAATTGACAAACGGTAAAAACTGTCAAAGGCAATTGTCGCAGTCTTTGTTCATTTGGGCACAACAAACTGACAGACAGACAGACTGGTAAAGTGATTGATCATATGATGAGCTCTTTGATTCTCCGGGACGGGACGTGGCTATGACTGGGCGCGCTCGTACATCAATTTCGAGTGGGCCTCTAAATGAACGTGGGAGTTTCTGGTTTGCACCTTGAGTTTTGCGTCTGGCTTGGCCATGCGAAGCACGTGCCGCAGACTCGAGGCGCTGCCTAGCATGTAAATCTGTATGTGGCACTTGCAACAGCTCCACAACAGCAGCCGCCTGCTGTATGCTGTCTGGCTGTCTGGCTGTCTGGCTGCCTGCTGCCTGCCGCCTGCATAAACTCGTGCAGCAGCAGAAGAAGAGGTGCAGCTGCTGGGCTGGCGGCTTGCCGCAGTCTTTGCCACTTCCTTTTCGTGGTCTGCTTAAGAATTTAACCCGTGCCGTCTACGTGCTACGCTGGAGTGTGCTGCCAGAGAGCTCAATGCATTCGGAGCTAAATTAATTGTTGTTATTATTTAGTTGCATTTTGTAGCATTCTGGCCGATAGCACCTGTTGGCCATGGCCGGCGCACATTTATTGAATTTTAATAAACTGTGATCCTTTGATTTCGCATGCGCGCACTTTTCATTTCTATAATCGCCTCTGATGTGCTGATAACTCCCGACTCTGCCTACTGACTGGCCTTCATTCAGCTATAATCATAATCGTAATCGCAGTCGTCAACATAATCGTAATTAAGTTAAGCGTCTATATATGTATATATATATATATATGAACCATTCATTTTTGGCGTCTGCCGACTGGGCGACTGGTCTGCGGCAGCTCCTTGTCGTAGGTCATGCGTGCCGCTGGCCAGTCGGATTGTCGTCTGGATCGGTCGCACCTAAGTGGCCTGGCGCTACGCTACTTTTGCCAACTTGATTGCTTATGCGCATATATATGCGGGATGAATTCAATTGTGTCCAGATTTCACATCTTGTTTTACTGGCTTAGATCCAACGAGACCAGCTGAGGCTGATCGGCAAAACAAGTTTCAGCTAAGAAGGACGTTGTTAGACCAGAAAAAGTATTCGTAAGCGAACATGCAAAGTAAACTTAATTGGCTTAACTTTATTTAGCACATATAATAAATTAGAAAGAATAGGGAGGAAAAAGTTATTAAGAAGAGTAAAGGAGTTAGTTTGACAATAACAGTTTCTGTTTTGTTAATTAATCATTCGTGCAGATGTTAAATTAAACTCTATTTTACTTTAAGGAGCCCAGGTGGTTTTCACACTCTTTGTCTCACTAAAATATCAAACATAGTACATATGTTTATTCTATATATATATATATATATATAGTATAAAAAGTTAAGCCATGTGAAAAATTGTTTAAATCAAAATTATCTTTAAACAGACCCTTTTAAGTTCATGTGACTGTTTTAAGGTATTTAGAGATAAATCCATTTATTGATTTACTTCTCATTTGGCACTATTTAATTACAGTGATAGTCAGATATAAAAATTGGTGGCATTTTAATAATAAAATGGCTTAGATTTTTCTTGAATTTCAGGAACCAAAAACAATTTTTGTTTTGCGCAATTCAAACTCAAACTGTCGTTGCAGGCCGACCCAAAGAAAGATGCGAAACCATTCGAAATTAACCCCAACTTTCAAAGCCACCCAGTAGTCGAACCACTCTGCTATCTTATCGCAGCATCGCGGCTCGTTGGAGCACAGAGGCATTGAAGTTGATATGAATGGATGCACTCAAGATAAGCCAACATAACTGTGGACGGGCACAGAGCTGAACGCCAAGGTCAAGGGCATGGACATGGAGCAGCTTTTCCACAAACACATACTACTTAAATAAAATACGTAACAATTGAAAAAGTTGACGCAAAAAAAGTATTCAGGCTGTTAGCAAAATGATGCTGATGTGAAACAGGCCCTCGGGCGTCTAACTGCACTTTGACAACTGGGAAAAAATAAGGTAACAAAAATTCCAGTAATGATCGTGTACCTCGGAAGCCTGTCTTTAGGCCGAATTCCTTGACATGCATCAGATGAGAAGCAATAAGATGAGATGTGTGCAATTGTGCGATAATCAAACGTTTCGCGGCCAAAACACATTAGTGTCAAATGGCTTTTGCCCGGAGCCCTGCCAGGGCCTGCTTATTGTTTAAACAGGCGACAGGACGACACGCGTGGCCAGGCCCGACTGGGCCAGGCTGTCCGGGCTGCTATTAAAATCATTATGCCGCAAATGTGGCAAATTTTCAACAGTTCATTTAACTGATTAAAGTGTAAGGCAGCGACGCTTCGATTTTGGCCAATTTGCCCGACTGATGAAGAATTGGCCCAGGACAGACGCTGTCCAGTCGCTCTTTAGGCTTATGTGAGTAAATTACATCACAGGAGCTATGTAATTTTGGCACCTTCTGCTTTTTTTTTGTGTCCCGTGTGGCAGCAGAAAGAAGTCATAAAATTAAATTTATGAGTCATAATTTTTATAATCAAAAATACGTTTTTTTGTTTTTGTCTTAACGCTTGCGGCTCATTTGGAAGAGCGCACATCGCGCCTTTATAATTGGGTTCTAATCGGGCTCATTTATAAGGTCACAATCCTCTGACTCTTTGACTCCAAAAATCCATTAGCATTTGGCTTAAACACATTTGTCAAAAGGCCTCTCAAAAACAATGTTGTTGTGGGTGATTTCTGTGTGTGTGTGTGTTAAATATTAATCAGTCAATAGGCAAAATGTTAATCCGCATTTGAAATGCCTTGTTGTTATTGTTGTTATTGTTGTTGTTTCCCTTGATCTATTAGTGGACCGCCCAGCGTGACGACCAATTAATTGCGTAAATGGAAAAATTGCCTTCGGTTGGTCTTTGTCTTTGTTGGGTGCCACAAGTCGCACTTTGGAGCTTGTCTGTGATTTTTGCTTTGACTGGGCAACAATATTCAAATTTTTAACGACCCAAAATTCGAATATATTTCCAAAAAATTATCGAATTTTTTAAAACACATTTATAAATCAATCGTTGCATAATATAAATAAATATTTGATTTTTTTTTTAGTTTTTTTATCCATTTGTATGTGTGTGTATTAATTTGATATTTATTTATTTATATTTAATTCAATTGCCTCAATATAAATTGAATAAAAATATTTTTATTGTAAATCTGATTGGAATTTTGTATTTATAAATTTATTTGTTTTAATTACTCGGAAATATTATACATTTTATTTTGAATTGTTCTTTATTTTTTTTATTTTACTTGAGTTTTTCAAATTTACTAACTTTGCGCTGGAAGAGTGAAATTTGTTGAAGTGTAGAGCGCAGCTAATTAATTAATAATATTTGTGCTTCGAATCATTTGAAAACCATTTGAAACTAAACCAATTTTTATTTATTTTAACTGAGCAATGATTAATTTGGTGCGCTAAA